AAAAAAAAACAACCATTAATATACAAAAGCTATGAGAAATATCTAAAACAACATATACAATAAAAAAATTAAATGCTAGAAAAAGATGCAACAAATATTACAGTCGCTGCAATAAAAAAATAAAAATAAAACCATTGTTGTCAGATTCTGTGTAACAAACATACTATTAATATAAACAATACATAGACAATCATATCACTGCCAGAAGTTCACGCCATTTGCCACCGACGTCGTCGGCCGCATCATTGTCGGAGCCCCACCTCCACGCCCTCGACAATCATATTGCGGAGTCCTAAAATTCTCTCTCTCACGTGCATCCACTGTTTCTGCTTCTGGAGCGGCACAATCTTAATCATCTCGTCCCTGAGAGAGGGCCTCCCAATGTACCTATGATCTGGTACTCCTTGATCGGGAGCGATTGAAGGTAGATTTGCCCAAGGGATTTGATCTTGCCACCTTGGACCAATCGACCGAGATTCGTCACCAGCACCCACTTCAATCACACACAAGTAAAATGCATAGCCTATGTTCCTTATAACCTGTAAAATCAACCAACCTCCACCCGTTTTGAATCAAAATTGAGTTGCCTCTGTCGCAGGATTCAACCCTCTGTATGGCCAAGTTGGACATGGAACGAGTCTAAACAAGTTGTTGGGATCTCGTGAGGGCCGCCCACGGTCGGAGAGGGTCCCTCCATCCAAACCGTCGCTCAAGCACATACTATCGACGCATCACCGCTGCTCCCAGATTAAGGTTATGAAGTTTCGCCGCGTAGTTTTCAGAGACGTAAACTCCACCTCTTGTGTGGAGATTCAGTGACGCTGATCGAAGGACAACATAGACAGGATTTTTCTTTTAGACTAGAATTTTGCTTGATGGGGTTTACAACAAATTGAAAGAGAATGACAAGGTTGTAGGCGGTTGACACGATGTGGGAGAATTATTTGTAGAATAATAGAAAATCAACTTTGGTATAAATCATCATTGAATCCGCCACCTCCCTTAATTAAATGTAAATATGTCTTAACTTAAATTATGGTAGTTATGTAGATTTAATTATTTTGCTAATAAATATATATGGAATGCAAACATGTAATTAAAAAAGATATTTAGTAGTGTGCTAGTTAATTTTTTTTCAAATTAAAAAGGTTTATTGGGTCAAACCTGAGATCTTAAAGCCCACCAAGCAACTGACCTTTCATAAAAAAAAAATCAGCTGTGGGTCTGAATTTCACAACAATTTGGCCCGTCGGCCCAAACTGAACAAATATCCATGTTTTTGTAACATTTTTTAATTATCCAAAAAAAATCTTATCATCATCGTCGTCGTCATCATATCACCTTCATCTTCAAAGCGTTCTCCCTATCAGCGAAAGCACCGTCGCCGAAAATGGCCCTCTCAACGGCCAAGCTGACCGAGCTGCCACCGCATTTGGTATCTACATTCTCCATACCCCGCCGCAAACCTCCGCATTCCGCTTTCCGATTCTTCAAACCCTTGTCTTCTTCTCTCCGCTCCACCAACAACACACCCAAAACCCCCTCCAAAAACCCAGACGTAACCGAAACTTCCTCCTCCTGGATAAAAAAATGGCCTTCGCCTCCTCCGAAACCATCGCCGGCTCCGAAATCGAGATCGAGAAAGCCCCATCATCCTAAAACCCAAACAGCTCCAGTGGGTACCACGGCTATTGATAGAATTGTGCTTCGGTTGAGGAATTTGGGGCTGGGATCCGATGAAGAAGAGGAAGAAGGCGAAGAAGGAGGGCAGTCGGGAACAAATTCTGGTTCGGGTAATGCTGATTTTGGGGATGAGAAACTAGGGGATTTGTTAAAGAGGGATTGGATTAGGCCGGACAGTATTTTGAGGGAGGATGAGGTTTATGACTCTGATGCGCTGTTGCCGTGGGAGAGGGGTGTGCATGAGGACGATGAAATGGAGGAGGATAGTGGGGGAGCTAAGAAGCGGGCCATGCGGGCCCCTACTTTGGCCGACTTGACGATTGAGGATGAAGAGTTGAGGAGATTGCGGAGAATGGGAATGACTCTGCGGGAGAGGATCAGTGTGCCGAAGGCCGGGATCACGGGAGCTGTGTTGGAGAAGATTCATGACAAGTGGAGGAAGTCTGAACTTGTGAGGTTGAAGTTTCACGAGGAGTTGGCAAACGACATGAGGACTGCGCATGAGATAGTTGAGGTTGGTGAGTTCTGGTATTGGAATAATCTTTAATATTATGATACTCTGCTTTTGTTTTTTATCTCTTTTCTTGGAGAGTGTTAGTGTGAGATAGTTATTATGTGTTGTGCTATTGGTTAATGGGAAAAAATGGCACTGCAGTGTGGTTGCTGCGTTTTGGGATAGTTTCAGAGTGAATAAGGCTGTGATTGTTTGTGATTGAGCGGAGTGCACTCCTCTTTTACTTAGAACATAAATTTTGGTAGGAAAATGTACATCTACTTTTAGTAATTGCCTTCCCTTCTATATAGATATAGATTATCTACTGATTTTGAGAAATTCAATAGTTGCATTGGGATTGTGAATTAACATCCTGTCAGTGTGTATCTGGTTAATCTGCATTGTAGAATCAGGTAGGCAATTAAAAAATTACTAGCTTTAAGGTGGAACCCCTTTTCTGATGGAAGTTTGTCCGGCTTATAATTTATCCAAATATCTGCTGTATGACTTGAATTTGTGGATGTACACAAACCATAAGTACTGAGTGCATTTTCTTTGATCAGCGCCGGACAGGGGGTCTAGTCACATGGAGGTCTGGAAGTGTCATGGTGGTGTTTAGAGGAACTAACTATGAAGGCCCTATTTCTAAATCGCATAGCGTTAACACCGGAGATGACAGTCTTTTTGTCCCTAATGTTACCTCTGACAATTCAGTCACGCAAGAAGGTGCTGGTAAAAGTCCGGTTCTTGAGAAGCCCAATCCAGTTACAGCAACCCCCGTGAAGAGTATGTCAGCAGAGGAAGCTGAATACAATACCCTATTAGATGGTTTAGGTCCAAGGTTTGAAGATTGGTGGGGTACGGGAGTGCTTCCTGTTGATTCCGATTTACTTCCTCCAACAATTCCTGGGTATAAGACTCCTTTCAGGCTTCTTCCCGCTAGAATGCGTTCACGACTTACCAATGCTGAGATGACTAACTTGCGGAAGCTTGCTAAGTCGCTTCCTTGCCATTTTGCCCTAGGTAGTTTCTTGCCCTTCTGTGTTTTTCATTATAATAAATGTCTGTATTAACATTTTTTTTCTTATTTTCCAGGAAGGAACAGAAACCATCAAGGTTTAGCAAAATCCATAGTTAAGCTGTGGGAGAAAAGTTTACTGGTAAAAATTGCTGTGAAGCGTGGAATACAGAATACTAACAACAAAATCATGGCTGAGGAACTCAAGGTATGTGGATTATCCTGCTTGCTATGTGGGCGTTTTATATTCTTGACATTTATCTATCTCTGCTCCATTACATTTCGACACGAACGATTTCAGGTTCTATATTTGATGGAGTAACGTACTTGGTTATTGTGATTTGTTACTGTTCTATAAAGAGTTTTTTTTTTTTTAAAGATTGTTACATATGGTTTGACATTATGATTACGCATTCTTTAGGTATCATGATAGTATTACTGCTTGACGAGAAATCATTTACATGGCTCTCAGTTATCCTAAAATAATTGCATCTTGAACTGTTGCTGATATACTGATATACGGTGTTGAGGAATAATTTTCCTTGTGACATCAGTACCTAATCATTGTTACACATTGGTTGTACATTTTCAATTCATTTTCTTCTCCTTTTCCTCTCTTGGTCTGCTATAGAAATTAACAGGGGGAGTCTTACTTCTACGAAATAAATATTACATAGTCATGTACCGGGGAAAGGATTTTCTTCCTCCAACTGTGGCTACTGCTCTAACAGAAAGACAGGAACTGACGAAGCAAATACAAGATGTTGAAGAGAAAGTTAGGGTTGGACCACCACTGGCAGCAACACCCGTAGTTGAAGAAAAGGAAGCTCAGGCGGGTACTCTGGCAGAGTTCTATGAGGCCCAGTCTCGGTGGGGAACAAGTATATCTACTGAAGACCGTGAAAGGATGATAGAAGAGGCATCCAGAGCCAACCATGCCAAAGTCATCAGGCGGCTTGAACATAAACTAGAAATTGTACGTATGCCTTATTTATTGTTTTCCTCAAATTTTGTAAAATAATGGAACTAGATTTTAGGTAAATTTTTGGTAGCTTCCAGAACTTTGGTGCTTTGTGTAGATGTTCCTTGATCTTTGGAGATCTGGTCATGCTTAATCCCCACTACACCAATTTCGAACGTAAAAGTTCATTTAAAATATTATGATTCAGTTACTTGGAAAAATTCACTTTTTAAATTGTGGCTCCATGTTCGCCTTTTTTGAATTGTCCATCAGTCGATATCTTCTTCGTGTGAGAAACTAAGGGCCTGTTTTGGTTTTCATTATGCACTTTCAGTTGCCAGCATTTTAATGACTTCGATATTGATCTCTGTGTGAAAACCGATAGACCTATATCAATTGTTTATGTAGCTGACTGAATGCATTCACAGTCTCAGGCAAAGAAGCTGAAAGCAGAGAAACTGCTATCCAAAATAGTGGATTCTTGGGTTCCTGTTGATCCTTCTGATGACCAGGAGACAATTACGGATGAGGAAAGGGTTATGTACAGTAAAGTTGGATTGCGGATGAAAGCATATCTGCCACTTGGTGAGTCCTTTTCATTTTGATTAAATTATAGAGTACAATAATTAAACTGAAACTGTTTCATCATTAAATATATTACTTTATCATGAAAAAAAAAAGAATTTGATTTTCTCTTTATGAACATATCTCAGGGATCCGTGGCGTTTTTGATGGTGTTATAGAGAACATGCATCTCCACTGGAAACACAGAGAACTTGTTAAGTTGATATCAAAAGAAAAGGAACTTTCTTTTGTTGAAGAAACAGCAAGACTTCTGGAATACGAGAGTGGTGGGATATTAGTGGATATCGTTAGAGTTCCAAAAGGTCATGCCTTGATTTACTATCGAGGCAAGAATTATCGGCGGCCGATCACTCTGAGACCAAAAAATCTTCTGACTAAGGCGAAAGCACTCAAGCGTAGGATGGCCATGCAGCGATATGAGGTTAGTCGACCTTGACATTATAATTCTAATATTAACTTAATTAATGATCGACGTTGAGTTGAATGATTTGGTAAATTGGTCTTTAAAATGATTACTAATTTGTAATATTCTGACATTGTCTTGTAGGCCCTCAGTCAGCACATATCTGAACTGGAGAAAACCATTGAGCAGACGAAGCAAGAAATTGTAAGCAAACCTATTCTGCCTGTTTAATGAAGTTGAACAACATATGTTTTATTTTAGTGAACAAAATGTATTGAACGTTTTGGTTTCAATAAACCCATTGTGGGGACTGATTCTTTGTCGAGGACTTCTCCATTTCTTGAAGAGGGGAACTTCATCGAACTTTATCGTCTGTTCCTGCTCAAGCATTCAGTTTTATCAGACTTGGTATTGTTGAAGCTTGATGACTCTTCCTATGCATTTATTTTAGGGCAACTCTGGAAAGCTGGAGAATGGCAAACTATGGAATTCTGAGGACTACAGTATTCCAGAATTGAATGAAGTAAGATGTTTTGTTCACATTCATATAGTGACTAAATCAAATAAAATCAATGAACTTAAAATTTCAAGCATAGGTATTAGCAAATAAAAAGATTCTGATTGTAAGTATCAATAAGATAAAATTCACATATCTAAAGATGACTGTCAATATGTGTTTTGCTACACACACACACACACACACACACACACACACTTTCTATACTTCGAATGAATAGAAAAATGATACTCTTTCCGTGTACAGAGTGAGGATGATGAATCCAGTGATGATGATGAGGATGAGTCAGAGTGGGAAGATGATGAATATCCGGAAGTTTCAAGTTGCGAGGAGCCAGATTTTGCATCTCAAAAAGTTGACTAACCAGGAGTGTCTTCTGTCTTTCCTTTTTCGAAGCCATGTTGCCTTACATGGTCTCACAAGATCAATCAATGCTTAAAAGCGGCTTACTTAGTGGCCTACTTCAATCCTGGAAATCAGTTGGAGCAAAGCAGAAGAAAGAGTCAACCATAACACACTTATTTGAAGTCCAAAATCCTTATGTCAATCAGGAGCATCATCATCTTTGAACGAACGACTGGGAGCTGAAAAAGTGAGCTCTGTACAGTTTTATTTAATTGCTTCTTGTTAAGTCACAATAAGCTTCAAATAATGGCTTGTTCATTTTGCTTCCTCCTTAGATACCTCAGGGAAATACGAACTCTGTGTATGTAGCATAGACAATTTCATTCTTCAATTATGTAAAAGTATTTTCTACGAACAAACTCTTTGTATGTAGCATAGCCAATTCCATTCTCCAATTATGTACAAGTATTTTCTACTACTATGAAATTTGCCGATTACAAGGAGAGCCCGGGCATCAATGGTTTGCAGTTTTGTGTTTGAAATTTGAAGCATTCAAAGTGGCAGAGTTGAGAAACTTAACCAATTGTAATTGTGACAAGTTTCCTTTACACTATAGATAAAATCATTTCATTGGGGGAATCGAATTGAAAAATTCAAGTTGAGAATTTTCAATGTAGAAACTAAAGGTGGAGTAAATATACTAAAACACGATGGTTGATAAATTAAAATACAGAGATGGTTTATAAAATCAGGAAGTATTTGTAGTCTGATAGAGTCCTGATTCAATCACATATAAATTAAAAGTTCACCAGCTAATAAAAAATGAAAATGGAAATATACACAATAAGACAGACAGATGGTGGACACAAAATTTACCAAAATTACAACATGGATTCAGTAAGTATTTCCAAAAAATAAACACACACACAAAATGATAATAATAATAATACATAAATAAATAAACAAAAAAGGAAAAAAAAAAAAAACCCACAGATTATTGTTTCTCATTGATGAAGCATTTGCTGCAACTGAAGTATCTGATTTCTGTGTTCGGGTGGCATCGAATTAATCTGTTCTGGTGTGAGGCTCATAAGTTGCTGCAATAACGTTTTTTCCAACTCAGGAGTCAACTGCACAATTGCAAAAAGGCACGATGAAAAATCCAATCCAAGCTGGAAGTACATCGGGCATTAATTACAAGATTACGAACAAAAGCATAGAAATAATGCAAGAAAATATACCTGCTGATCTGGTCGAGGAGGCTGATTACTAGGCCCCACCTGACCAGGAAATGACAGTGGCCGCTGAAGCTGGCCCATCGGATTTTCTTGAACACCACTCGTCCAGTTGGGTCCTCCTCTGTCGGTCTGCCTGGAGTTTCCACTCTGATTATAATCCATTCCCAAGTGTGGATATCCAGTCTGGGCCACAGAAAAGTATTGCATGCATCCATTGTGAGACAGAGATAATATGTATGATAGAAGTAAGTGCTCAAAAAGGCACATCAATGTAAGACAAACTAATTTGAAGATAAACCAAGTTCATGCTCTCATCCAACTTGAGAAAAAAGAGGTCTTAATTGAGGCAGAGAAGAACCTATTATTGTGGTGTTATTTACATTCAAACTGGTTATAACGGCATTAGATAATATGTCCCTCATGCAAAAATCAAAAAGAATGGGTGAATATAATAGATAAATAATTAAATGTCAATACCATTCCAATGCCCTTGGGGATGAATATATGCATAACACATCTAAAGGAACTCAGTGTCCAGTCTTGTTTATATTTCTCTTCCTAGTGTAAAGATTTCTATAATTAACCACAATTTCAATAATCCCTAAACATGTTAAATATGATCACATGGGGAAATTATAAGCACCTACTCAACAGTTAATCATGAGCCACACCAACAGGTTGGCCCAACAGAGGATGCCACACTGAAAATCGACAATCATATAGGAATGAGCTGGTTGCATTGCAAAGGCAAACCTGATAAATTGACGGGGGCATAGGCTGATTAGAATGTGGCAGCTGTCCCTGTGGAAATGAAGGCCCCATACTACCATGAGGTTTCCCACCTGACTGCAATACAAAATATTCAAAAATTAAGCAAATCAAGGCAAGTACATTTTTTTTTCAATTCTCTTTTATTTTTACTCGTCTAAAATAACGTTGAAAAGAGATTGTTTGACTCACATGATACATATGCTGCGAATGATGTATAGGTGGCCCACCCGGATGCTGAAAGCCCATATTCGGGCCCATCCCACTAGGACCCTGATGTGGGAAGCCCGGCATTGGCCCCCTCGGCTGTAGCGGCACAGGCGGCAAATACTGATTGCCGCTACTTTGGATAGGCTGCTGTGACTGTGGCGGCAGAGAAGGCACAGAGGGATGATGGAGTGAAGTTGGCTGTGAAACACTATGCTGTGGCAATTGAGATATATTAGGGAGTTGAGGGGGCAACTGAGTTATATTAGGAACTTGAGAGGATTGTGCTGGCATTGGCATGGACATTTGTGCTGATTGGGCCCCAAGATGGGCCTTAGATTGCAATGGGCGCGAGGGGGCAGATTGGGGATGAGGGTTTAGCGGGGTGGGTTGGGGATGAAGGTTTCTGGACGCCATAGTTTGGTTTGGGTTTTGGCTTGGAGTTTGGTTTATCTGTTGCTTCCTTATCTGGTTAGGAACAGCTTGGCCCGGGAAGGATGATGTGGGCTGGATTTTGGGCTTCTGATTTGATACTGGTGGTGGATGCGGGGAGAAAATCTGTGATGCTGTTGATGAAATTGCCGGTGACTGA